CTGGCAACTTTTGCTTTAGTCAATTCCTTCTTGTTTTCCAGCCCTTTTCTCAGATGTTTACAGATAAATTAATGAGTCTAGTAAATTGATCAGGGCACCCTGTGGGGTTTCTATCCCACATCGATTGGGGGGGTTTGGGTGTTGGGTTTATAAGTCTCCTCAGTACCCTCACTAGTTACCATGGCTTTTGAGGTGTATTGTGGACTAAGGGTTGTAAAGTCAATAGTCGGGTTTCTACCAACTGACAAAAAAAAAGTAAATTGATCAGGAGAATACTTTTTTTTTTTTATGATACGATAAATTTTATTCTACACATATTTCTACTTTATATTAAGGAGAGGAGGATCTAAGATGATCAAAGAGGAATCCAGTAAATCACCGTCGATTCAGACGAGTTGCCTGTTGATCCGCCGTTGAAATTTTAAAAAAAAAATCTGAACATTAGAATGTTGGCTCGAGGAGGGATCAGGAGAATACTTAAAAAAGAAGTGGCTCTCTCTGTCACTGGATCGTACGAAGAGTCTCTGCTTTCTGCGCTCTTTCCAGCAAGTTTAATTGGAACTTGAACGGTGGTCCGAGATTTTCCCCCTTTCTTATTTTTTGGGATAATTAATATGGAGGGTCATCGAACATCACAACTTAATAATAATAATAAGTAATAAGCACAAAGAGATACTAAAATGTACAGTATTATTTAAATACAAAAGAGATGCTAATATTCACCACCCAAATGCTTAAGCTCTAAAAAAAAAAAAAAAAAAAAAAAGTCAGTGAGAAAGTGCTCAACATTTTTCTTCTTCTCCTTTGAACGGATAAACTACTTAAATCAATCCAACCCAAATTTCCTCTACCTATTTTGGACCTACAACACGAAAGAGGTCATTTCTTTCCTTCTTTCTTTTTTTTTTTTAGGATATTATCATGGTTAAAGTTTTAGAGGGTTTATTTGTTCCCAATTTGATCTGTCCTAAGTAAACCGTTTCGGGTTTATTTAGTGGTTTAAATGGTTCATTTTCTTCTCTTTGCTAGGGGTGCTTATTTGCAATTTGCAAATTTGCATGGTCAAAGTTCGTTTGAATGAAATCGTGTTCCAATAGACTTGAAAGTTTGTCAAACTTCATAAATTCTCAACAAACACACAATTTTATTTAAGGGTCACACTAATCACGAGACATAATTATATTTGGCAGATTTAATAATGCAAAAAGATGGAATGACCCAAAATTTATTTTTTTGATATTTCAGTGGATAAATACGTACTTTTAAAAGTTCAATGATAAAAAAATTTTCATCGAAAAGTTTGAAGGTTACCTGGGTAATTTGCTCTAATTTATATTACACAAACTCGATTGAGGTAGGTTCGATCGAGTCCAAACTCAAGATTGAGTAAATTAAAACTATATCAAACTTGACTAATGATCTACTCGAGCTCGATTCAATTTGTTTACCCGCCCTGCTATGTCCAGTGTGTCCATGTGGGGAGAGGAAGTGCTGTATACGGAAGTTTCAAAACATTGGCGACAGAGTATGAAGCTAAGCTCATTCATTATAACATTATAGTTTTCCATTTGATATCTAAGATTAAATGAAACACAAATTTCTGCTGAAAAGTAAGTCCATATTCACTGCCAGACCAGGTGGCAGTGGGTCAGAAATTCTGTCCCTTATACCAGAATCCTTACTGTTGCGCATTTCATTTACTCGTTGACAAGAGAAGACTAGTATCGGTCTTCTCCTGTTAAAGTGCCCATCTATAATTCTTGAAGAAAAATGAGTGCTGCTTCAGTTCGTTTCCTAAAATCTAAGATGAGTACCGTTCAACCCTTTGGTTCTTACAATTTGCAAATGATGTTTCCAATTATCAGCATTCTCATGATCTCAACCATGATTCAATCCTCTTATTGTGCCATTAGCAATGAATCCTCCTGTGACGGATTGTTCTACAACTGTGGAAACCTACAGGGCATAGCTCATCCTTTCTGGGGAGGAAATCGACCTGAATCATGTGGGATCCGTGATTTTCAGCTGCAATGTGTAGAAGAACAGCAAACCCTGATTCTTTTTGATGATATACAAAAGTTCAGGCTCCTAAACATCGATCAGCCTGCTGGAAGTATGACTCTTGCACGCACCGACATCTGCGACAATGCATGTCCACAGGGATACACAAACATTTCTTTGCCAACAGACGGTTTTCTCAAGTACAAGGAGCAAACTGTTAGCAATCTCATAATTTACTACGGTTGCAGCTTGGATCTTACATCACTTGGCTGGGATAGCAGTTCGAATCAGACGCAGTACAACACAACTGACAACTTTCACAGTTGCTGCTATCAGCAGATCACGAACTCGATAGCAAGCAGAGTTTGTTTTGCTGATTATTATCCACATAGCCAAGAGTGTAGCTCTCTTGCTGTAGTTCCAGTTCTTAAGGAAGCTTCTGACGAACTCTGGGCCTCGAAAGACTTACTGTCAGCTGCAGAAGCTCTATTGCAAGAAACTATCAATCAAGGTTTTGATGTTGAGTACAGGGAATTAGTAACTGCTTGCTCAGGTTGTGAGGCTTCTGGAGGAAACTGTGGATCTAACAAAGATGGACAAGTTAATTGCCACTGTCAAGATCAAATTCACCCAACAATATGTCCAAATTCGCCTAACGGTATATATGGTGTATCTTCTTTACGGTCAAGCGTGCTTTCTGTTCTGTTGCATACTAGTAAAATCTTTTATTCTTTTGGAATTCTTTTTAGATTTCAATAGGATATTTAATATAGAAAAAAATCAAGACTACCCAACTGTCCAATCAACATGTTATTAATGAAGGAGTAATTATCAATTTTTCCTCCCGTCACAGGAAATCAGTCTTTTGGCTCCCCTCCTAGCAACCATGGAAACAATGATCTTCTAGTGAAGAAGCCAGTAGTAGGTATGAAATTACTCTCCTTCGTATTGTCGTTAATTTGTTTTGCTAATGTTCTAGCCTTTTGAGTCACAAGCTGAGAATACCGCATTTCTTTGATTCCTTTTGCAGCTGGAATAGTAATAGCAGGAATAATACTAGTAGTAGGTATGTGTATAGTTATCTGGTGCTGTAAAATCAAGAAAGGGCAACATGGCCGAGCCATTTTGTTACCGTTTAAAAGAATTTCGAAAGATTTCCAAAATCTTGACGAATTGATGGAGCAACATGGACCTCTGGCCCTAAGAAGATACAATTATTCAGATATTAAAAAAATGACAAGCTCATTTAAGGATAAACTTGGAGAAGGAGGATTCGGCGAAGTCTACAAGGGAAATCTTTCCAATGGTCGGGATATTGCAGTAAAGATCCTACGAGAATCCAAAAAAGATGGAGAAGCGTTCTTCAATGAGGTCTTAAGCATTAGTAAGACTTCCCATGTCAACATCGTCACCCTTCTGGGATTTTGCCTGGACAGGCAAAAAAGAGCTCTTGTCTATGAATACATGCCAAAAGGGTCTCTAGACAAATATATCCATGGGGAAACTGTAACTAAGACTGAAAATCACCTGGGATGGGAAACGCTTCATCGGATTGCAGTTGGAATAGCTCGAGGACTAGACTACTTGCATAAGGGGTGCAACACTCGAATTTTGCATTTTGACATAAAACCTCATAACATTCTTCTGGATGAAGATTGCTATCCTAAGATATCTGACTTTGGGTTAGCACAGCTATGTACTAAAAAAGGAGGTATCGTATCAAACATAAGAGCTAGAGGAACTCCAGGTTATACTGCCCCAGAATTTGGCAGCAGGGACTCTGGGGGAGCTTCCGAGAAGTCTGATGTTTATAGCTACGGAATGATGCTTATGGAAATGGTTGGAGGAAGAAGGAACATTGAGGTGGATGTAAGTCGTATAAGTCGAATCGATTATCCCTCTTGGGTTTACCAGCGCGTGGTGCTTGATGAAGACTTGGAACTACAGGGCATCAAGACTAAAGAAGAAGACGAAATGGCAAGGAAAATGTTGCTAGTAGGTTTGTGGTGTATACAAAAAGATCCGTCTAGAAGGCCAGAAATGAGCAAAGTGATCGAAATGCTCGAAGGTAGTTTGCAGGCCTTAGAGAAACCTCCAAAACCTTTTGATGGTGGTATTTCTTCTCCAGTTCTGCAATAGACTAACAGAATTGTTTAAACCCATCAAATTTCTTTTACATTTTTGTTCAACTTCTCCTCCATTAGTTATATAATGTACTGATCACATAAATTCACCGGCAAGGACTCATCAAAGTTGTATAACGTCTGCTCCTCCAAAGTTCAAAACTATAGGGGAAGTTAATATCTGACAAACTCATGACATTAGGTTGTAGATCAAAATTTCGATGGCACGAAAGGTTAAAGTGCCTAAGTTTTATTGTTATACATATCAGAATAATTTGATCCGTTATTTCACATATATGTCAGTGGCCCTTCTTATCAGTGTCATGATCAGTAGATTGGCATAGCGAACATTGGCTTCAGTAACTGGCACCGACTTGCACGTCATCTTTGTATTTGCAAGTCGAAGAAAACAGCAGCCTATCCGAACAAGTTAGTAGTTAAGAAAAGTCATCTGCTAGCATCTTCGACATCTTAAAAAGGGATTAGATTTTATAGTGCCAGAGATAATACATCTTGATGAATGAAATGGACTAATGCATGTGGATTTTGAAGGACATAATAAAAAGAGTAACCTAAAACAAAGCATCTTTCTTCCTTTAGGGGAAAAAAATTTTGTGCTACTGTCCTGGGCTAGTTTCGGGCACACCGTCTATTATTCCCTTTGCGGTCTACCTTCGGAGCCAATCTCAAAGACGAACACCAGCAGTATTTGGAGTCAAACAAGTAGGAGTATTATATTAGAGAACCAAAAGGCAAGTTGACGCTCAATTTCTTGATAATTTAATGCAAAGTCAAGTCGTGACCGTGCGGGTCATCAAAAATGAGTTAGGAACTGTAGGACCTGGTTACAGTAGTATTAGTACAACAAATCATGAAATAATCGAGATAGAATTCCAAAGAGTCATAGGAGGAAAGGATTAATGCCTTTTGGGTTTAAGTTCAGCTTTATCTATCAGCCTTTCCTGTTTCAGTTATGAGCATTGACCATTTTCATTCATCTATGACGAATTCACAATTGATCATAACCATTTTCTTTATCTTGTCCGTCATTTCATTTTGTTATACTGCCAAGGGTGACCAATTCAAAAACTGTAGCCTTCTTTACAATTGTGGAACCTTAAAGGGCATAGGATATCCTTTCTGGGGAGGTGATCGGCCAAACTATTGTGGTCGCAGAGGCTTCGAACTGTTCTGTGCGAATGACCAGTACACGCATATTTGGTTTGATCTTGTAGCTTACCGTGTATTAGGAATTGATCCACTAGTTCGCAAGATGACAGTTGCTCGGCTTGATCTTTGGGATGATATTTGTCCGGTATCAGTTAATCGAATTAAAGATTCCACCTTGTCAAAATTAAATCCCGGTTCAGACAGAAGGTTTAGGAACATCCACATTTTCTATGGTTGCACTTCTGAGGTTATTGCCAAAGTGCAAATTCAGAGTAATTTGTCGTGTTCAATATTTGGAGAGAACAGTGGTGTCTTTTTTGCAGGTGAATTTGTATCTAGTGCTCCTGGATGTATGACCAGCATGGTTGTTTCCATTCAGTTTGCAGCTTATATTGATCTCTGGGACAGAAAAATAACACTTCAACAAGCTCTTAAACAGGGAGTTGATGTGGAGTATGATACCTTGGAAGCTTGCTCATCATGTGAGGCTTCGGGTGGTAAATGTGGATCTGATTCAACTAATGAATTTATTTGTATCTGTCAAGATCAATCCCATCCAAAGGTTTGCCCTAAACATGGTATGTAAGGGTTTCTTTCTTTTATCTTTTTTTTTTCATGCGTTCATTTTGGTTTTGCGTTCTTGTGTTTCTGTCATTGCTGATCTCTGTTATAAACCGTCGTTGGGAATGGCAGCATGATTTTGACCTTACACAGCATTACTTGAAAAACTTAAGTGCAAATGAGATACTGAGAACTGAGAAGATTCAAGTAAACACAAAACGTTAGAGACAAATTAGCACCGCCTCTACCGTAGAGATTGCTAGTACTCAACTTTATGCCTTTCCAAATGAATATATTAGAAAAATCTAAAAGGCATTCCAAATTGAGATACAGCAGCAGTACATTGATAGTTCTACAAAGAAATGGAATTCCTTTCAGTCTGGACTTCTAGTAACTTATGAAAGGAGACCAATCTGGTGCAAAGAGTGGCCTTGGATTGTAGATACAGGTAGAAGAGAGGAAAGAATTCAAATGTGTCCCACTCAGTGATGCTACGAGCACTAAACATGTCCTTCAAGCTAATTGCTATTGTGTTCGCTAGGAAATTATCCAAATGAAATGAATAAAAATTTGACCATGTAAGCATAATATCAATAATTCTCTAAAGTTCAGAAAAAATGACATGTTTAAGCATCAGAATCTGTCAAAATGAGTAATCTAGAAAATTGTTGCTTTGTCCTGTTTATCACAATGCTGAGTTCCTGGTATTTATAGCAACTTGGTCAGCATGACTAAGATGGTTCGTGTCTCTTTTGCCACTTTTTGTTGAGCAAGCCAGATTTTCTTTTGCTACATGGTGATTTAGTTAATACACATGGAGGGACATGAAGAAAGCCAATAAATAGGAAGGAACCAATCTTTGCAGTCTTGGCTCTTCCTTATGCATGTTTTATTCGCCTTGCAGGAAAGGGGCGTTGGTTGAAGCGGATGATTGGTAGGTACCTCAACAATTTTTTCTCTTAATTGCCACCGACATTAAAAGAATCTCAAGCGGTGTCCCTTTCTCTGCGTGCAGGAGCTATAGTGGCTGGAATAGGAATACTATCATGTTCAGTAATCTGCTATTGTTATTACAAAAAATATTCAAAGAAAACTGCGCTTTTCTTGTTTTCAAGAAAAACAGATGATAAAGAACTCGAAGCCTTTCTTGAAGAACATGGATCTCTCGTACCTAAAAGATACAGCTACACTGATATCAAGAAAATGACACATTACTTCAAAGAGAAACTTGGTCATGGAGGATATGGTGAGGTCTACCGAGGAAATCTTTTTGACAAGCGTCCAGTGGCAATAAAAGTTTTAAGTATGACCAAAGGAAATGGAGAGGAATTTATTACTGAGGTTGTAAGCATTAGCAAAACTTCCCATGTTAATGTGGTCAATCTTGTTGGATTTTGCCTTGATGGTCGTAAAAGAGCTCTAGTGTATGAATTCATGCCAAATGGATCACTTGAAAAGTATATCCATCATGACAGCAAGTCCTATTTGGGATTGGAAAGGCTGCATGAAATTGCTATTGGAATAGCTCGAGGGCTAGAGTACTTGCATGGAGGATGCAACACGCGCATTTTACACTTGGACATAAAACCTCATAATATTCTGCTTGATGAAGAATATTGTCCTAAGATATCTGATTTTGGGCTGGCGAAACTATGTGCTCGAAAAGAGAGTGTTGTATCGATGTCAGGAGCTAGAGGAACCATTGGCTATATTGCTCCTGAAGTGTTCAGTAGGAACTTTGGTGGAGTCTCCTATAAATCTGATGTCTATAGCTATGGAATGATGATCCTTGAAATGGCTGGCGGAAGGAAAAATGCAATAAACGTTCAATTAAGCAATTCAAGTGAGGCATATTTTCCAGATTGGCTATATGATCGAGTTCTGATTGATGAAGACCTAAAACTGCATGGTCATACTATGACAAAAGAAGAAAATGACATTGCAAGGAAGATGATATTGGTAGGCCTATGGTGTATACAGACTAATCCATCGCATAGGCCGAAAATGAGCAAGGTTATTGATATGCTGGAAGGTAGCTTAATGTCGTTGGAAGTTCCCCCAAAACCATTCTTCTCTTCACCTTCAAGATCAGAAGGAGGATCTTTGGAGATGACATTGCTGCCACAAACAATTTTACCTACCTCTTCTAGTTCACCAGCTGATTCTGGCACCAGATAAGCATAAATCACACTTTTAATGTATTTTTAAGCCAAAAGTAGACACTTCAGTATATATGCTAGTCTTTGAAGCATCAACAAAATTTATGCAACACATGGATGCAGACTTGGAAAGTTCATCAATCGATGGGAACTTCACAAATTCAGTCTGCAATGATTGTATCTGCTGAGCACTGGTAAGCACAAGAAAATTGATTGGATGACAATATGTCTCTGGTTTTTCCGGGCTTCTGGGATTTAACATTCACATCAGATAGGAGAAAATTCCTATAATTTGTAACTCTGTTATAGCAAAGAAGAATATTTCGTAAGTCTGCAGTCCATAATTTGGGTCAGACTTTTATATTCAAATACTATTAACTTGCCATTTGCAAAAACTTCGATTTCGTTCACAAATTATACATGTGCTCGAGCAGTAAAGCGATGGGTACTTATTAAAACCAACCCGGCAGGAGGACTGGGTTGGCGGTTCAATCGCTGTTCAAGTAGTTGAACCGTTGGATCACACTATATAATAAAATAAATATATAAATTATAATATAAGTACATAAATTCTTAAATATTAACAAGCTATAACCTTGTTCATACACACAAGCCATACTCATACGAGGTTCTAAGTTCATAAATTCATATTGATATTATACACAAACAAAAATGATAAATCTATGTGTAAAAGAAAGAAAGAAACCCTAATTTCCAAATCTTTTTTAGATTTTTCTCATCTAATTGGCTGCATAATGTCGAAAAGACGACAATGCTCATACTGGTGTAACTAGTCAAATTAAAAAATTGGGTAAAAAGGTAATTTCAGGAAAAATTTTAAAACCCGATAGGTTCATCAATAACCACCGGATTTGACAGGTCATTGGTTTCGATCACTCAAGTCAAACAGTTCCAAACGAATTATCTGCAAGTTCGATCTAATTGCTAAACTAGCCCAGTTTCATGGCCGATTCACCGATTTGATCGGTTCAACTATTGGGTCGAGTCGGATATAATAACTATGATGAATACTACTCAACTAATTAACGCAATAAATCGAGCCACTGGCAGAGTCAAGACAATTGGGAAGGTTGCAATTAATCACTTTTTTATAAATTTCTTGTGGTTGGTTAGAAAATGAAAATGATCCTATAAAGTTTTATTTTCTTATGAAGGTCAAACTTAGACACTACAAATATTTAACTTTATTCAGCATAAGATTATTTTAAAAAAAATCTCCAAAAATATCTTTCAAATTGTTGATGAGCGTTCCAGAAAGGTGTACAATTTTTTTTGTCCCACTATGGGGGAAATTGTGGGGAGGGAAGTGGTATTCTCAAATTTTAGAGAGCGCAAACATAAAGCAATTTGCAAAATAACATCAACTCTGGGTCATTTTGTAATTTTTCACGAATGGTTTTTATTGAGTGCGATTTTTTGTTTAGCGGTAAACCGATAACTGGCTCACCTGAATGCAATTCCGCCAATGAATCCAGCTGATACAATCGGTTGGACGGCAAACAATTGGTAGTCAAGTTCGGACTGCGACCATTCAATTTATACTTGAAAGCCATACTTAAGTTGAGGAATTATAACAGGGCAAAAATAAAAAGTATGGCAGACTACAAAAACAAAGTATCAGACTTTTTATGAAATTTTTAATGCATTTTTGTTTTATTTGTCATTTTAACCTCTTGTATTTTGGTTAATGAAACTTGAACAGATAAAAAATAAATTAAAATAAAATTTTTGTGAAGAAAAAATGGCAATATAATGCAAGGTAGAACAGAAACTGAATGAATAGAAAGTAAAACAAAAGACCGATTGAATAATAATTTCGTAAAGCCCGTCATGTCAATAATTTCATAGTGATTTAAGTTGCTAATTAATGTTAGCTGCTTAATAATTTCGTAGTGATTCAGTTTAGATATCCCATATATCAGGTCATTTTCATCATGGATATCATAAACGTTTCAAGGATATGAAATAGGAATTGTTTGGTTCTCCATATGAACCGGAAATGGACTGCAGTAGGAGTTGTTTTGTAGTCTTATCAACCTACGCACTCTTTTGTTTTCATTTTCAAGTGTATTAAAGCTACTTATTCTATTCCAATACAAAGAACAAAACTAAGACGAAAAAGATGAAGAAACTCATGACAGATAAGGGACACACATTTCCACAGGCACTTGCTGCAAAAACCAATAAATGTGTCTTTGACTCTTGAAGAAACGAAACGGAAAAACATCCCGATTCTCTCTCGATAGCCTCCTAACGTTAAAAACCTCTTCAATCCTTGCTCCAATTCAATCTCTCTACTGTTCAATTGGGCATTGCAATATATGTTTTTTTTTTCCCGGTTCATGATACCCAGAAATTTGACAAATAAATCATGAAAGTAATAAGTTGTGCGTCCTCAATCTTCAGTTGCGAGTCTCGCTCTTGACCTCTATCCTCCCTGTTTTATGGTTTGAAATGGCTTAGGCCTCCATTTTGTAAAATAAAAAATAAAAAAGTAAAAACTGGTACCAAAATGTTAAACGCCTGAACTGTACTCCAAATCCTTCTTCACTAGTTAGGATGGTAGTCGGAAAAAATCGTAAAGACTCGGCACAATAATTTGATCGAACGTTACACTTCTAGTGTCGGTGTCTCTTTTTTCCCTGCCATGATCTGTAAATTGGAATTGGTCATTGGCTTCAGCGACGTACTGGGACTTTTGTCTCTGCGGTTTTAGTCAAAGTAAACGGCATCTTATCCTTATTAGTGTAGTCAGAAACTTATCACCTATTTTTTTAGAGTAAGTTTTATTTAAGTAATACAAATGTTCTATTTTTAATTATCAAACACATTTATCTTAACCTATTAAATTGAATTATCAAACAATATATTGCCGACGGAAATCTAGATCTTGATGAATGAATGAGGTTAAATACTACTATTTGAATTCGGTAAAATGGAATCAATACAATCACCAAGAAACTCATCCTCTTCTTTTTTTTTTCTTTTTTGTTCCCCACTTGGTTTTTAAAATTTGTGGTAGCATCCTGGGCCCGTTTGCGCCCATCTTATAGTAATTGGCTAATTGCCCATGAAGCCGGGACAAAACACACAGGACCAAGATCAACTCGACACCCGATTTTTTTTTTTTTTTAATTTTATTAATTGCAAAGGCATGTCGTGAGGAGTAGCTCATGAAAAATGTAAAAAGACTTCTGGAGTAAATTGCAAAGCCATTTATTGTTTGCAGTGTGGTGCTATTTATTGTTTGCAGGTGGGGTTTCTTGACTTGATGAAGACCTCGAACAAGAGCCGGCAATTATACCCAAAATCCAACAATGCAACCAATCCATCCACTAATTTGAGAGGTTAGGTTGGGTAAGTTCAATTTTGGGTTAATTTTGGATTGGGTAATAAAAATTCATATATATTTTGGGTGATTTGGGTATTTGTGTTGGGCACCCATTACCCAACTTAAGTTAAAAAAAAAATTAACAAATTAAAATCAAGAAACAAAAAAAAAAAAAAAAAACCAGCCTTGTTGGATCAAGCAAAACCCATATATGTACTGGTATGTATAATTATCATATATATGCTACTACTACACACTGAGAAGGATGATCAACGAGTAATGCTTAAAAAGAACAAAAATTGAGAAATGAACGGTGCAGCACAAATGTCAGTAGGATTTTTTTAAAAAAAAGAAAATCCTTGTACTCTTTGCTCTTCACATCCATCCTTTTGCCGAGTTCCGGAAAAATGCATCCTACTGTTCTTCTATTTCTTTTTCTTTTTTTCATTCAAAATGAAAAAATAAGCCCCCCCCCCCCAATTTATTTATCACTTCATCGAGATCTCTTAGTTTTGTTCCACCCAAAATTGTTGCTTCGGTCTCTTAGTTTGGACCAAAACTATACCCAATTTAAAAATGCTTACTTGTATAAAAAATAGTGAGTTCATCCAAGTAGTTTAAATAGTTAGTATGTGTGTGTATTTGTGAAAGTATATTAATGTGTATTATAATGTGTTTGTATGTGTAAAAATAACGTATTTCAAAAGAGTTTAAAAAGTGAGTGTGTGTGTGTCTATGAGTGTTTTAGTGTGTAAAAATATGTCTATCTATGTGAAAATGTGTTTATGTGTGTGAAATTTTTTTTTTTTTGTATGTGAAAATGTATTTGAGAGAGTTTATGTATCAAAATCTATTAATTAATATATTGGGTCATAATTGGGTCATGGGTTTGAGATAACCCAATTCAAAATTAACCCAATCTAAAATTGAGCGGATTAGGTGTCACCCATTTAAATGAAAATCCAATATTAATCCGCCCAAAAATCGTCCAACCCGCCCAATTGCCAAGTATACCTGGAACTACAAAGCAAGCGACTGAAATTTGGAGGGGCCGAAGCCGAAGACGAAGACGACTTCTTCTAATGTGGCTTCAAGTTTTGTACGAGGAAATTGCCCCTTTTTACCAATTCAACTACTAATAGAGAACAAATATCGGCTTCAAGGAAATAACGAAGAAGTTGGGCACTTTTGTTTGTTCTTGGACGCTAAGATGGAATTGATCAATGAATTTTGCCAAATTTCTTCACTCATCGGATCAAGTCTCAATTCATTCACTGGAGAAAAGTAAAAAGGTTCAATCACATGGACCACTTTTATTTTTTTTTTCTTACATTTTCTTACCGAAAGTAAGAGTTACGCAAATAAACCTAGATCCCGTGAGTAACCTCAAAAGCCGGCAACTTTTGAGGTCCTCACAGGGACTTATCTACCCAACCCAACCCCCCCTAATACCGATGTGGGATTGAAACCCCGACAGAGGCAAGCCCAGTGGGCCGTCACTGCTAAGGAATAAAGACCCCCCACGAACCCTGTCCTGTTGACCGACCCCTAGAGAGTTTCTTTCTTACATTTTCTTACTGAAAGTAAGAGTTACGCAAATAAACCTAGATCCCGTGAGAAATCTCAAAAGCCGGCAACTTTTGAGGTCCTCACAGGGACTTATCTACCCAACCCCAACCCCCCTAATACCGATGTGGGATTGAAACCCCGACAGGGCATGGACCACTTTTATTTAATACGGCAGAAGATGCAAAACAGATTTTCATATGAACACTTAATAATAATAATATATTCCAAGGAGTACTTAGAATGGAGGTGTGTGTTGTTTTTGGATTGATTCAAGTGGCCGCGTGGACTGTTGACATGCATTCCTTTCATCTGCGGAGTTGACTCCATTCACCCCTTCACTTATAATATATATTTGAAGGCACCACTATTGATCTTTTTATTTTTATTTTTGACATGTATTGATCTTTAAACCTTGAAAAACCAATTAATTGATCCCCGGTAGGGGCAAAAACCGGAAAAGAAAAATGAAAATTTGAAAATTTCCAACTGGCCTCAAAAAACAGTGTAGTATTAGTTATTTTGTCTCCCCCCTTTATGGGTTCTTGAAGATTTTTCGTGTAAAAACTTTTGCATTCTAGAGGTCGATTTTTTCATATACGGACTTTGTAACATATATTGGATAGAGTATTATTTGGAATAAATACTATCGCACTTTTTGTGATACGATGTATGTGAACTTAAAAGTCGATTGATAATATAAAAGATGGATTGAAAAATATGTTTATGATACAAGTAAAATATTATTTAAAAAATTTTGACACCCAAACAAACCTTTAGTCCGGCAACATTTCAAATGAAAGTTCCAAACACTTTCTCTCGATTCTTGGCCATGCTAGGTAGTATCTTGGGTGCCAAAATGGACAGAAATTAATTTTAGTAGCATGGATTTCCTATATTTGACTACTTGATAAACATCTACTCTTTTTTTTTTTTCTTGCCTTCCTTTTGCCAAAGGTTCGCCGATTAGTACGGTGGACAATTTATAAATTAGCATAACTTTCACCATCCAAGTTGCACTAAAATCCCAAACACCTATTCAGCCATCTACCATTTCTACCCCTATTTGGACAAAGTTACAATTTGTCAAACTTCAAAGGCAGCAAGTCAAAGAGAATTTGCTGTCACTATGAATCTATGATACACGAACCCCACCCCTACTCCCCCACGGATCCCACCAAATTTATATTTTATAAGCAGCCATAGACAAAATAACATCCCAATCCTTGTCCAAAATCTTCATTCAAACATTTCAACATGCCCCATCAACCTCTCCTCTTCCTCCATCTTCTCCCTTTCTTCATCTCCTTCGTTTTCATGAAATCATGCGCCGGCAATAATAACTCCTCCATTTGGCCACACTGTCCGGCGTCCAAATGCGGTAACATTGAAGTCAGGTATCCATTTTGGATTAAATCCAACGATACGGCCATCCAATACTGTGGCTATGAAGGCTTCGGCCTAGACTGCACGCCATCTTCAGTTCCCGGCAATTATAACCTCACTCTTCACCTCCCCCCCGTTGATTTCCACGTACAAAATATAAACTACCCAGATTACAAGCTAACCCTTGTCGATGCCGACGTCACAACAAATTTATCGTGCCCAAGACCACGCCACAACCTTACTCTTGAGGACTTGCCATTAAACTATTCCACACAAGATTTGAACCTCACTTTTTACTTCAACTGTACTGTTCCTAGCCTTCCTTTTTCTGCTTATCCTGTGGATTGTCTGAAGTCTGGTGGGAACATGTCCTTTGTTTCATTAGAAACTGGTACTAAATCTGATCCTGATTGGTTTAAGTTCTGTGAGGAAAAAGTAGTAGTAACAGTGACTAAAGGGGAGATTGAAGGGAATGCTAATGGTATTTGGGAGAGTACGTTCGCTGGATTTGTGCTTGATTGGTATAGCGGATTTGAGTGTGCCGGGTGCGAGAATTCTAGTGGCCGCTGCGGCCACAACAACACCACCACCGAGTTCTTGTGTTTTTGCAATGACGGCACAATTACGCATGATCACTGCAAAGGTACGCTGCACTTTCTCGAGTCTATTGAAAAGTTTTTTACAGTGACAATAATATTGTAAGGAATATAGTCCTTTGCCATAGTGTTATACCCTTTTCCTTTACAATCGCGTTATTACCTTTGCTTGGAATTATAAGACTTCATTAATTTTAATAAATAGTCCCCCAGCGAGAGAACGAAAGAGTACAGAAGAGAAGGTTGACAAGGAATTTGCAGGTGGGAGTTTTGCAGAATTAGATAGTTCCAGCTGTGAGATTAAAAATCAGCGTCACATGCAAATATCCAAAGTGCAAAATCATTTGGATAAAAGCGTTGAAAATATGCAAAGTGCTATCACTTTGGATATGCATCCAGTTGAGGCTGTGCTAAGCCTAGTACTTATCTATATGACCAAGACCACAAAAGGGTAGTACATAGACAAATTCAGAGTCAATGGGGATTTTTTTGGCTTGTCATCAAAATGGTTGGCAGAGAAAATTGAATCTTGCAATAGAGTAATTTGATCTCCACCTGATTTGCACCTCCTAAGTACTAGTAGCATGAACTATGAAGTCAAAACACAGCCTTGCGTTGACCTTTTTTTTTTTGTTTTTTCCTTGTTTTGAACTTTGACAACTTTTAGTTCAGTTGATTTGGTTCTTTATAAGTTTCAAGTACCCTGTATCCTATAGGCGGCGGACAAGGTTTTTCCGAAACCAAATTGTACAACTTTCTATTGTTACGCAAAGTTACAGTGTGTAAATCCTGTACTACACACGATTACCGTTAAGATTATGTAGTATCTCAATTTAATCTGTTAGTGTTAAGTCGGTTGACCTTTTTTCCCTTTTTTTTGGGGGGCCAATTAGCCTCTGCAATTTCGACTTAATGCCAGAGAGAGAGAGAGAGAGAGAGAGGTTTACGAAACATGCTATGCATATGTATCAGAATCTCCTGTTAAAATTCACAAAGGTGTTTTGCTGTCTGTCCTGTTATCCTACTATAGAATTGCTGGAATGTATACTTAACCAGCAACCCGTGTCTCTTTTTCGCTTTTGATTGAGATATCAGAATTTTCTGTAGCTACTTCATGACTTAGCAAATGGATTCGAAATGGTTAAAGTACCAAGTACAAAGAAGAACAGCCAAATAACCTTAAATGAGACCAATTGTCACTTGTCTTAGCTCTTCCTTACTGACATTGTATTAGTCTTGCAGGTGCTCATGACTTGGGTCGTTTGTTGAAGGTGCTCATTGGTATGTTATCTTTCCATCATTGTTTCAAAGGAATTGCCGATATCAGTGATTAAAGAATATTAAGCAGTATCCCTTCTGTGGTTGCAGGAGCAATGATGGCTGGAGTGGGAATACTGTCCTTCTCAATAATATGCTACCGTTATTATAAGAAAAGGAAAAATGATAAACAACTCGAGGCCTTCATCAAGGAATTTGTATCTCTCAAACCAAGAAGATACAGCTACTCTGATATCAAGAAAATGACAAATTACTTCAAAGAGAAACTTGGTCAAGGAGGGTATGGTGAGGTCTACAGAGGAAATCTTTTTGACAAACGTCCTGTTGCAGTAAAAGTCCTGAGAACCAACAAAGGCAATGGCGAGGAATTCATTAATGAGGTTGCAAGCATCAGCAGAACTTCCCATGTTAACGTTGTCACTCTTCTAGGATTTTGCCTTGATAGTCGCAAAAGAGCTCTCATATATGAATTCATGCCAAATGGATCGCTTGATAAATATATCCATCATGAGTCTGAGCCCCGCTTGGGTTTCGAGAGAGTGCATGAAATTGCAATTGGGATAGCTAAGGGACTTCATTACTTGCATGGAGGTTGCAACACACGCATTTTACATTTCGACATAAAACCTCAAAATATTCTTCTTGATGAAGAATTTTGTCCTAAGATAGCTGATTTTGGACTGGCAAAGTTGTGCGCCCGAAGAGAGAGTATTGTGTCGATGTTAGGAGCTAGAGGAACAATTGGCTATATTGCTCCTGAAGTGTTTTGCAGGAACTTTGGTGGAGTCTCCTATAAATCTGATGTCTACAGTTATGGTATGATGATCCTTGAAATGGCTGGAGGAAGGAAAAATGCAATAAACGTTCAATTAAGCAATTCAAGTGAGGCATATTTTCCACATTGGCTATATGATCGAGTTCTGATTGATGGAGACCTAAAACTGCATGGTCATATTATGACAAAAGAAGAAAATGACATTGCAAGGAAGATGATATTGGTAGGACTATGGTGTATACAGACTAATCCATTGCATAGGCCGACAATGAGCAAGGTTATTGATATGCTGGAAGGTAGCTTAATGTCGTTGGAAGTTCCCCCAAAACCATTCTTCTCTTCACCTTCAAGATCAGAAGAAGGATCTTTGGACATGACATTGCTGCCACAAACAATTTTACCTACCTCTTCAAGTTCACCAGCTGATTCTGGCACCAGATAAGCATAACAGAACTGTAAGGTTTAAGCCTAAAGTAGACATTTTTTCATATTTGCGATCTTTGATGCATCAAGGAGAAGTTATGCAACACGTGGATGCGGATTTGAAAAAGTTCGTCAATCAACCCAAACTTCACTAGTTGAGTCTGCAATAATTGTATCTTTTGATCACTGGTAAGCACAAGAAAATTGACTGGATGACAAAGTCTCTGATTTTTACGGACTTCTGGCATTTAAATTCAAGATAGTAGGAGAATGACAAAAAGAAAAAAAAAATTCCTTTACTTTGCTATAGATTTCGTAACGCTACAGCCCATAATTTGGGGCAAGATGCCATGATCTGTGGGTTTAATGTGAGAAAAGTACTATTTCCTTTTTTTCAGTTGATAATCTCATTTTTTCCTTTAATCCTCTGGTGGTTTCCTACTTTCTGTGTGCAAAATTAGTGTGTCACTCGAGAAAACTCCTCTAATATTAGGAACAATTGAAATTGTTAGTAAAGTTTGGTTCTAACATATCCATCTTTGCGGGGCAGATGGGATAAAAACAGTCCTTAAAAAATAAAAAGAAAATTTTGCAGATTCTTCAATAGATGCAGGTCGATTTTGATATGTCAAACCTTTTAATAATCATTTTAGTCAATCACATGATTTACATTTTTGCTACATGGTACACACCTTGAAATGATTTTACGTAGAACCGGACTCTTTCAATCAGATTAAAGTCCCCTAAATTTGTAGCCTCAACCATGGAAAAACACAAACTCTGGTAGCCTCTAAAATGTAAAATTAGAGCTCTGCAATTACAATAATAATGACTTTCTGTTGAGATATGCAACTTTTCCTACATATTTTGCTAGATTATGTTTGATATCAAAATAATTTAGTTATTAGAAAAATAAGGATATTTGTTAACAAAAGATCATGTTGGTTTGTTAACAGATATTTTAGATAAGATTTGCTAGTAGAAGGAGATTATATTTTGTTGAGATTTCTAGGATAATTGTTAGTTGGATATTTTGCTAGTTTGTTTCATGTAATCACTATAAATAGTGAGTTGATGAATGTAGAACAAAAAGCTCATTTTCCACCTTCAATACAAGTCTCTTATAAGCTTTTTTTGCAACACTAAGGTGTTGTTTCTTAGTTCATGCCCCAAAAAACCAACACTTTCCTTTTCATTTAACTTGAACTTTGGTAGATGTAACGGCTCTGGAACAGTTGTTCTCACTTGATGAAACAGTTGACAGAATTTTGTTTTGCTCTTGGGTATATATATGGCTAACTGACATAGTTTGCAGTTTCCATAGTGGACAGCATCAACATAAGAGATGAAAATGGGTGCATTGGATACATGTTAATTTGTAGGACAAAAATGAATGAGTGGAATCAATTTAACTAATGCTGCTACATCCTTATATGTACAGCTCCTTTAAGGTGCAAATATCTGGCAGATCGAAGCAAGCAAAATTCAAAAATCACAAAAGGGATATGACATACATGCGACTAGTTAGGGAAAGCCAGGCAGATATTCAGGTACTGGTACTAGTGGTTGTTGAACTGCTCACTGAATTTGTAAGGATTGAATCTGGCGAGCTAGTTAACTGATTAATTTTCAACAATACAACGTCATCTGCTTGATTATCCATTTCTTCTTTCTTTTCTGCATTGTAATCCTTGTTTTGGATTTCCAGCAGTGCTTGTAGAACCTCCTGCATAGTCGGTCTCATGTCCCTCTCATATTGTAGACATTGAAATGCTAACTCTGCTACATCCTCAATCATTGCTGTCAGCTTGTAATCTGAACCATATCCAAGATAATCATCCACAAGTTCATGCAACAAGTGGTTTTGGATCCTGTGAACAGCTATGTTTGACAAATTTATTTCATGCCGATGCCTGGTGATGTCTACTGCTGGCATTGATGATATGAGCTCAATCAACACAACTCCAAAACTGAAGACATCACTCTTATCTGTAAGGTGATAGCATTGATGATACTCAGGGTCTACATATCCTGGAGTTCCTTGTGGAGCAGTTGAAACATGTGTAGCATTAATTGGGAAGAGGCGAGATAGACCAAAATCTGCTACTTTAACGCAGAAATTGTTGTCCAGGAGGATATTGTTGGTCTTAACATCTCGGTGGATAACATCAGAGGCATGTAGGTAGGACAATGCACTTGCAGTTTCAATGGCGATGTTCATTCTAGTACTCCATGGAAGGGATCCGGGCCTTGCTAATGGACCGTGAAGATGATCAGCAATGGTGCCATTAGGAATGTACTCATACACAAGCAAGAGTTCACGGCAGTGGCGAGAAGTGCATCCATATAAAGAAACCAGGTTCCTATGGCGCAAGCGTGTCAAGATTTCAACTTCATTCCTGAAGTGCTCAACTCTTTTGAAGTTGCTTTCATATAATCGTTTCACAGCAACTTCACGCCCATCTCTCAGTTTGCCTAGCCAAAATGTGCATTGGTATATATGTCAATCAAATTGTGATGCCCATAAAGATCAGGCATACAGTAATATTCATGTCTGCTCACCTTTGTAGACAGTGCCAAAGCCGCCATCTCCAAGCTCTTTATTCGGATCAAAACAATTAGTGGCTTCTTCTAGTTCGGTGTAAGCAAAGATGTGCACTCCAAGGTAGCCGCTAGCCCTTTCAGGATCTATCACTGAAGAGGAATAGGAAGAAATGTCTCGAGATATCAACGTTGAACCAGAATCGCGGTTTTTATGCCTACGTTGATAGACAAAGAATATAACGCAAAGAATAAGGGCACTCCCTGCAGCAGCACCAAAGCCTGCAAGGAAATTGTAGGATTTAAAAGGAATTATTTATAGTTATTGACTCTTAAATAAACGAAATAGTTAAAGAAAGGGACAAAAACTCAGTCCAAGGAGGAAGGGGATTTACCAATTCCAATCTTCAGTCGCAAATTTGACCCTCCACCTGCAGTATTCAATCATACGGAACAATATGTAAGTACCATTTGGAAAGATTTCAATTGTTGGTAACATGGTAAATCATGCTGAATAGCACCAACGCATGAGGGTTGATGGGCACAATTAATTCCATAACTTTAGGTACAGCAAGAAAAGGATTGTTTTTCAAGCAACACACTAAATAGATCCAAGTATTGAAATAGACAGCATTCAACCAATAATACTTGTATTGAATGTCCAAAAAGTTATGTTTATCCTAGTAAGCTCTACTGTTGTTACCATCATCACAGGTTTTTGGATGGATATGGTCATCACAGTAACACACAAAATCATCGTAATAGGAACCGCATTCCCCTCCACTCCTCCTGCATTTGCTGCAGCTATCTCCATCCCACTGCAGAACAAATCCTTTCTTCAAAACATCAGTATAATTCATCGCTAACAATCTATTCAAGCTGTCAGTAGCTACTGGCGCATTCACTGGAGGCTGACATGACTGTTCTGAATGGTTCCGGTGATCAAGGATTTCAGTATGGAAAACAGCAAAAGCATGATGACTAGCATTACAAGCACAATCCAAGGGGTATGTCTCTTCCTGATACGGCTCAGTGCAATTGTAGAAGAAGAAAAGATCCACAGTTTCAGGGCCATAGCTGAATGGAGTTCCTCCGGTGCTAAAATTATGTTGTGGGGCTGGACACTGGTCACTAACATTATACAACTCAGCTGGAGATAGCAAAATTGAATCATTCGTGTAAAATATGTCCCTGATGATATAATCATCATCAGAGATTTTCAGGATGGGGTTTCTGTCCCTGCAGGTGACATTGAACATTGGTGAGCCACAATATGACTCTTGCCTGCCTGGAATCCAGAAGGGATATTCTATCTTCAATCCATTCCCACAGTTTTGAGGCTCGCAAGCACTTGAATTTGTGTAAAAGCATGCAATTCCATCCATCAAAATAGTGAAGAGAATGGCTATAATTTGAATACAATGACATTTGTAGGAAGTTCTATGATCCATCAGTATGGAAAAGAAAGAAAACAGCAGAAGAGAGCCAAGGGATGTATGAAGTTAGGCACTGGAGTGCAAGGAAGCATTGGCATCAAAATTCAAAAAGTAGCTGCCTTGATCAAATTTCAAAAGGAAGTGTTAGCTTCACCTTTGGTTTGTTGTACCTTACGAACTGAGGTTTGACATTCTTCAGAAGAAGGACAAATTTTTCTTCAAGACTTTAAGCAAAAACAAAAGAATAATTATCTCACTCTTGGTGAATGAGGTGTAGGTGAATGATAGGCCACCTCTTGTTTTTGAATAATTATTCACCAAGAGAATAATTATTCAAAAGCAAATGGTCTATCATTCAACCGGGGTGCAGGTGAATGATAGACCACCAAGATGACACGATGTTTGACTTCATGAATACCCTAGTACAAGACTTCTTCTTGTTGGTTAAAAATTTTGGAATATTATCCCAGCAAAAATAAGGAATACTTAATCCTTGCACCCCTATTCCTAACCTTGATCTCACTCTTTATTACTCTCTATTATCAAACCACAACCCCCCCCCCCCCCCCCCAAAAAAAACAACAAGGCCTAAGTTTAAGCAGTAAAAAATCTTTTATGCATTGACTAGCATGATGAAACCTCGGATTTTTTCACAGTTACAAATGCTCATTGCTTTTCCCTAATAATAACAAAAATTAAAAAGCCAATGCATAGATGGTCCATGAGCAAAGGTTGAAGCGTGACCGAGTGGAGAACAATTCAGGCCAATGACGTTTACAAACACTACTATATCCTATAAAAAGTCCAAACTAGTGATGGGAAACCAATTGCAGATGGAGATACGAACAAACTAATAAATATAAAACGTCAAAAAGTTTCTTTCATATGCACGACTTCGCTTCAGGGATTGGGTTGGTGAACCGAAAGGGACGAAATGAGGATGGAGGAAGCTCCCCTGGTCAACCTTTTCACATGGGGCTTAATCATGGAACTGGAAAATGACCGTTTACTTGGACAAAGACGACCACGCGCTTACGCAACTCTTCTCTGTCCTGGCTTTATCTTGCTTTTCCGGTAAGTTCCGATCCCGGGAAAGATGTAATAGCAGGTATTTGTTTTCTTCCCATGGAATGATTTGATAGCTATTCGGCTGTGCCTACGTGCTCACTACAGGTGACTTGTGAACTTCTAAAGCATGTCTAGTGTCTACCATGGACATCTTCAACAATTAAGAGCCCATTCAAATTGTTATTTTTAGAAATTTTTTTTAAAAAAAAAAGAATTATAAAAATTTAATATATTTAAAATAAAAAAGATGATTAAAAGATGTGACTGTAAAAATTGTTTAAGAAAAAATGGCAATCCAAACACATTAATGATCACATTATGATGACAAAGATTGTGATATAAAAATGATGCATAGACAGCATAGTATGTGAACTCAAGAATGATTATTGTCCCAAGTGTCACCAAAGTCAAACTGAGATGGCATCTTTCCATACCATGAGAATCATTTTATGACGCAATATGATAAGTAGATTTAAAATGCAAAGTCTACTGCCCTACTTTTATTAAGGCAATATCTTAGAGGCACATTGCAACGAATAAAATTAAAAAATATTTGCAAATTTTATTTTTCTTCAAAATTAGAGTATTAAAAGGGAAAATTTCTATGGGTTGAAGTAATTTTTGAAAACAAGAAAACATAAATAAAGGAAACAGAAAAAGATAGCCGCTGGTATGTGTAATTTTAAAGATTGTTAGAAATAGATAGTGGATAAATATAAAAGAGTTGTGCTTGTAAGTCAACATGGAGAAGTGATAATGATGAAAAATGGATAGAAAATTACAACTTTTTTTTTTTTTTTTTGGGTCAATGATTTGTCAAGCTCGTCTACTTGGTTCCAGGGACAAGGCCATCAAAAAGATCCATTCCCAGTTTGATCTGGGCCTAAAACTTTTCGTCCAAAATCTCAAGTCTAAGAGAGTTACAATTAATTTGCATAAGATTGATTAACGAATGCTAACTTATTGGCAAAGCCTTTGAGCCTGGTGTTACCCATTACACTTGTTGGGCTGCTGAAAACCCACTACTTAAATTGGAGACCAAGCCCACCTTAGCTCCATCAGCTATACAATTAGGCCCATACAACTATCACCCCAAAATTCTAGGAGAAAGGAAGATGAAGGGATTAAAGAAATCCCAGAAGATCCCATCCACGGACAGTGGACATTTTCAGACTTCAGAGCCAACTAAGGTTTAGAAGTTATAGAACAAGAAGATTCAATAAGCTAAGCATGGAGATTCAAGAAATCATTTAAATGTGGATATCATTTGAAAATGAATAGTTCAGAAGAATCGAACTTTTCGATTGATTCTGGTACTTGGCATCCTATGAATGAAGACATGGCCTCTTTGAATCCTACTGAATTTCATTCGAAGGAGGAAGCTTATAAAGATTGTATTGATACGGTCCCCAAGAACCCCCAAGCATGCACTTGACTATTTGAAACATACCACATTGAATGGAACTAAGCCAATTGAGCCTAAATTTCACAAAACACAACAACATATTGCTCCTTACCTTATTTAAATCATAAACTTTCACTGATGAGTTAGAACTTCCATATGTTTTAATTCTTTTGAAAATTATTAACTGCAATTTTCAGTCCACCTATGTCAACCTGGTACAGGGCCAACAAACACTAAAGTACTAAAGCCACGAGTGCAAAAAGTTCTGCATCCTATCCTATTAGTGCTATGCCAATTTTATGAATGTGCAACGGCAGAAGTGTATCAGTCAGTATCTCGTATATACGGTTTGTTCAGCTCCTCCGCAGTCCAGATTGGCTGATTTGGC